TTTTCTATATCAACTGATAAAGCAGTTTTGGTAAGTTAAGTTTATTTCCAGTTTTTAACAAAATAAGATTTTATTTAACAAAATGATAGCTTCTTGTCAACAGATAAATAAAAACAAATGACTGTTACTTTTAAAAACAAAAATTCATCATAAATAGAAAAACAAAAGAATAATAAGCATTTTGGTCAACTTGTTCTCATGCTACTCATTTAGACTTTTTATTAACGCGCTTTTTCTTTGTCTTTGTATTATAAACAAGTTCAGTTTTAAGTGGTGGAAGTGTCACAGGTCCATTTGGTATAACATTAAGAAATGATGGAATTGATGTCAGAGAATAGTTAAAATGTTTTGATATCCATTCAACTGCATATTTATCCGTACGAAGTTTTCCTTTAGATGTATATAAACGCGTAGCATACATCCATGATATATCATTCCACATCGAATGATATTTCATATTAGTCCATGTATAATTTTTCTCTAATGGAGTTTTCCATTTATCTCTTCCATATTCATCATCAAGATAATCCGTGGGTGAACATGGAATGGTAAAGCGATGACCAAATAAATCACATGAACAAAGTTCTTCTAATAATGGAAGAGTACGTCTAAAATATAAGATATACTTATACTGAGAAATCTTTAATTTATTCACTTATTTATCCGTAATAAAACATTAGACTGTATTTAGCGAGAAGAGAATAATATCCTGTTCGTTTCCATTATATTAATAATAGATAAAAACCTGTAATTCTCTCGAAATAATATTCTATTTTTGTATGGATATAAATTAGAAAAAAATCTAAAGTATAGACTATGAAAAACCCAAAAAAATAGTGTTATCATTAGTTCTACAGGAAACTTGTCGTTGTCATTCATTTTAATTATAAGTTGTTCTGAAAGTTATGTAGAAGATATGGAAAAGAAAAATGTTAGAGAACGATTGAAAAGGTAATATAGATGAAAATAGAAATAGAATATATTTTGACAGAAATACATATTTTTTCTGGTTCAACTGTATTATCTTCTTGCATACGATTATTCATTGACAATAAAAATTGTATAGATTAGTGTACTAAAAGTATCAAAACATTAAAACTATAAAGATTTGAAATTTAACATGTGATAGGAGGAAATATAAACATTGACCTTTATTTCTTTTAATCTTTTCACTATGAAAATGATACTCAAGAAAGATTAAAACAGTACAAAGCAACTCCTAAGTGAATTAGTATTATTTATTGAAGTATCCAAAAATTAGATTATGATCCATTAACTTTTTCCAGCACTTTTATGCTGATTTTTTTCCAATCATCCGATAAATGTCTTCTCTCGATTAATACTAATAAAAAGGAAAAGACTTCATTTCCGACATTTGACTTTAGAATTCTTTCTCTTACCACTTCTCTTTCTCATTTCTATTCTTATTACTTGACATCCTCAATTTCCCTCCTATTTTTACGTTCTATATTTTATGCGTGTTCTGTCAAACTTGTTCTATCTATAGTAAATCTAATCATCATTTTCACCAAACTATACATTTCTTCTATAGAATAACTCGCTCTTTTGTGTTCTTTATTTAATCAAACTTCGCCTGACTTCTTTTTTAATCATAAGAAACACTATACCTAAATTTTGCTCGATTTACTTGATAACCGCACCAACGCTGATCGCCATCACGATATGCCCAAAACAAATCAAGTGTAAATCTTCCCGTATAAAGACGAAATTCGAGTGAATCATTTACCTAGTTAAATTCTTACAAATTAATTCACATGAAAAAACGCAATTAAATCTATACACTACTTACAAGTCCTAGTGCACCCCAGAGATAAGTAATAGGATTTCCAAGAAAATGATTTCGTATACTTTCATCATA